GGCTAGATAGACTATATCTGGTCGATAATAAATCTACAAACATATGGTGAAAAGAACCCTGATTGTTTCAAGAAAATCTTTCAACAAATTCTTTTCTCTCTTAACTGACAAAATCTGCAGACCTCCATTAGATCTGCAATTAACTAGAAAAACATACACACAATCGCTGTTTTTTTAATGGATATTTAGCGCCGTATATGGCAAGAGGAATGATTCCTTTGCTTCCGGAATGCGAAAGTCTACTAATCAGAATTAGAGTTGATAAATGAGTTAAGATTAAGCTTTTGAAATCTCTAGAACTCTAATATATTTTTCTGTTAGTATATATGTGACTGTAAATTGATTTAATATACAAAACCTTTTCTGTCTTGATCTTTTTTAAATGCATACTTCATAATCACATTGCTGCCGAATGTTGTGAAATCAATCGATCTTTGAAAACTTTGTTGAGCGTCACTTTCGTTCGCATGACGAACAATTGCGTATCTAAAAAGCTCATTAAGATAAGACTATGAGTATTATGAGTCTAAATTCTGCTTATTCAAGATTTCTAAAAAATTATTTGATTAGACAACAGGAGTGCGTGAAACATTTTTAAACCAGGTATTCAGAAACTCTAAAAGACAACCAGAACGCTTCTTAATGAGGCATGATTGTAGATCGCAAATTTCTGATTAAAATGAGATATCTCCCAGCTCTACACGACCTTTCTTTGCAACGTTATAGAATTTACACGAAAAGTCCTAAATTAATTTGTTCTTATTTCTGTGGGTTTGAGCTGAACATTTAGGGCTTTTCGTGTAAATTCTATAACTTTGCAAAGAAAGGTCGTGTAGAGCTGGGAGATATCTCATTTTAATCAGAAATTTGCGATCTACAATCATGCCTCATTAAGAAAGGTTTTGGTTATTTTTAGAGTTTCTGAAAAAGTGGCTTTCCAGAAATTCGATCTCTGGAGGCCTAGCAGCACAAACCGACATCAGATTCGGATTTAGCGCAGTCGATTACCTATTATTCACTAGATTTCAAGCAAAAAGCGATTGCACACTTGGGGACCTTTCCTCGTTCGTCATTTGTACATGAATGTGTAATATCGTAGGGGTATAGAAAATGTCTTTAGTGGTCTATTCCTTCTTATACAGATAATGTATGCTTGTTTTTGTCATAAAACAATGTATTTTTAATATTAAAATAGTTCTGTTGTTATCTTTCTGATATTAAAAATGAGTGTCCTTCTTCTTTGAAAAAGAAAACAGGAAAATCAATGTTCTTTAAAATAAAAAATATCAAGAACTTTTTATTCTTCTCTTTTCACTGTTATAAGTTGTAATAAAAACAAAGTATGCTGAATATACGACACAACATACGACTTTATCAGTACATCAAATTACTTCTTCTTTTCTTCTCGTTTTTTGCATTAAAAGTAACTATCAAAAGTTAGCGTATATACCTTCGAATTAGAAGAGAAAATCGTATATGCTTTATTTTCATTCTTAAGAAGAGAGAAAGATAGCAAAAGAGAGAGAGAGAGAGGGCCCCTTTGACGATTTTTATAGTGATTAGATTCTGAGGAAAGAAGAGAAAAATAATGATGAACAATTATGCGTTCTGAAATTTAAGATTGTCTTTTATCTTTTTGAAAGAAGACATCCTTCTTATTTTTCCTGTTAATCAAAATGATAAGACCTAGAAAATCCACAATTACAAAGTAGGATCAATTGTGTATATATCTCGTAAACAATGTATTCTCGTTCTTTTTGGATATTTTAGTAGCGAGTTATCTATTATTGAAAAAAAATTACGTGTAGAAGATTTTTGTTTATTGCGACATCGTTTTACTAATACAAATGAGGCGTTCAATCCTGACGATGCAATAAATCATTTATCCGATGATATTAATGAAAAGTCATTACGTTAGTTATCTAGTTTATTTTTTACATACAATTAAACAATAACAGATAAATGTTAATTTTAAGGTTCATTAAACAAAGAAAATTTTATAGAATCATTCGAAGGTATAATCGATATTAATCTATATAAAAATCAATTAGAAAAACTATTTGATAAAGTAAATAAAAGTAAAAAATATTAAATTTATAATTTCAACATTTTAATTGTAATTATTTTAGCTTAATTCAAAAGAAACTGATTTAGTTAGTTGGAATGACTTTTGTACATATATATTACAATATTTTCAAGAAGAAGATTATGTTAATTCTCTTCGAACATTACCTTTTAATAGTCAACCAAAAATTCGACATGTACCACAGAATAAAGTGAGTAAACAACATATTCATTTTCTTTTTTCAAAATTATCACATTACATTATTTAGCAAGAAGTAACAGTAAAAATCTTACATTTGGAAAATCCCGTAAAATTTGTTACCATTAGTAAAGTACGCATATTTTACTAATAAAATCAAATATTTAGATCGAATTTCTGCTCTTATGAATAGGACGGATATTTAAATTTGTGGACAACAAATCTTGTTTATGATAAAACATATTTAGTTAGTCATGAATTGGGTCATAAT